GGAAATTTAATCAAACGAGTTACCAATACAGAGAAGTCAGATTACTGCCAGCTTCCCCGCATCGCTCTCAAACTCCTTTGCAGCGCGGCGCAAACATATTGCAGTAGATCCACGGGTGCCTTCACTTCATGAAGATCGGCCGATTGAGGATGCGGCGCGGTTGCGTTGCGGCGCCGCAGTCATATCGATTTGGCTGTAATTCGGCTTTATTCAAAACTGCTCTTCTATTCAAACTTTGAATTGCTTTTTTTAGGCTATGTTAATTAAAAGTCGGCAACCTTGTACTGAGAATGCGCTGAAGAGCTGGTACCCAGATTTCGGCTAAGCCTGATACTGATACTGGGCGCCATATCGCAAGCGCGCATTTCCGATTGGCGTTCTTATGGAGTATAGAAATACCCGATCACCCACTCTCCTGCCGCTTAGGCCGCAACTGCATCTCAGGCAGCGTAACTGTAGTTTTGAAATCTGATTTTTGTCAGCTAGGAGGATGGGTTGTAGTTACTCAAGAACGAGGGATACTAGCTTTTCGCCATTCACCACTTGAAAATGGTTTTCCAAAGCAAAGCTCTTTTGTCACAAGTTCAACGGAAAAGACGATTGATGACGCAACAAAAAAATCTAGGGTTTTTGTCAGACTTGGCTCCTGATCCAAGAAAATTCTACAAACACCAATTTCTGTGATGCAACTGCTAAGGTTTTGGTGGGCATTTGTTTGCTGAAATATTTTATGAATATCCTTTCAAACTTGTCTTCCTTGTATTTGGGTATTTGTTGCCAATTATGATGTGAAATAGATTTTGTATGACTAAACGGGTGTATAAGTGAGAAAATAAAAGTCTGTAAGCTTCTGTGTAGTAACACATTCTATTATATTTAAAGCTTTATTTGTTTAATAAAATAACAAAACTAATGTCACAAACTAAACGATGAAGAAAAAACTACAGACTCGATAAGCTATGAGAACTTTCAAAGATTTCAAAGAGCTTTTGTTCTTTTCACGTTTCTTTCCACTATTACTGAACTGGGAATTACCTCTACATACGTTCGTGGAGGACATTGACAGTATCCAGCATCAAGACCATCTACGCCTCGTTCACCCTGTTCTCCAACTTCGCCATTCTGGCCTGGCACACCAGTACGTCCCTGTGGCCCTTGCACTCCTGGTAGACCGGGTTTTCCTGGCGGTCCTGGCGCACCCCTCGCGCCAAGGGCACCTTCTACTCCTGGTAGGCCTGGTTGCCCACTTAAACCTCCAGAACTTCTTGAGGCATTTCTACCTGGTAGTCCCTTGTAACCAATAATTCCACGAACTCCTTCAACGCCGGCATCACCTGGTGGCCCATAAAAGCCCTGTGGTCCATCTCGTCCTGGTACACCAGGCAGTCCCTCAAGTCCACTTGCTCCGGGAAATCCCTGAGGACCCAAAGGACCAAGAACACCAGGTGGACCTGGTGGGCACACGTAGCAAAGCAAATCGCTATTCTTCTGCTTTGGAGCAATTGCAATTCCGTCTATACCGGGAGTTCCAGCTACACCTGGTGCGCCATCTTCACCACCCAATCCTGGAGTTCCTGGAGGACCAGCGGGGCCCGGTGGACATGTGTTTGGCTGACGAGCACATTTGCAATCTGTCGTTCCAGTTTGTCTCTTCTCACGTTCGGACTGCTGAAAGTACGGCTTCGCACCTATTGAATCCATTATGGCAACCCATGCATTATCTGCTGTAACCTAAAAACATCTGCTTTGCGTTAAATAGAAGTATAGAGTCAAAAAGGTTTTAAAAGATACAGTTAACTTACTCTGAACTCACTGACATCAAGTAGCAAATCATCGTGCAGTAAACTGACATCGTTGTATAATTTGCCGACAAAACTGGTAGAAATCAGAATTAATAATGAAGACACGAAGCAGACTGCATGTAGAAATTGACGATCCTTTCCAGTCATCTTTCATCTTTCGACATTATTCATGCGCTTATATAGACGTAGCGACAATTGGCAATCAGCACCCAACCGCATAAAGCCTGCTTAAGGTGAGAAACTTTGAAGAAACAATTAATTAGCATAATATTCATTTGCCACTAAAGTGCGGTTCTTCAGGTTTTCCATTGATAGTTTACCTCGGTTATCCTTCCTCCAGCAGTTTGTGTGTAAACCATGAGATAAATTTGTGTTACCTAAATAATGAGGTTTTTATACCTCGAAAGAATTATCCAAATAAGTAGAAGCTAACAATCCAATTCGTTCATTTTCGTTCATTTTGCAAGTCCTTCCACTAGCGACAGGTTTCCGAGGTAATTGGATTGCTTGCAAGCAAAATCAGCGTGGATTGTTCTGCATTAGCAAAGTGGTGGCAGGTAATTATTTTTCGTTATGCAATGTTCCGTACCTGGATGAGTCGGCTACTAGGAGCAGTAGTTGAAAAAGATATTGAAGTACAGTTTTCATTAGATAATCATTTGATATCTATATTTATGATATCTCTATTTCTTCCACCATATGTATTTCTATTTACTTCAGCAACATGTTCCTGGTAACAAGATTTCGTTTCTCTATTTTCTAGCGCACTTTGTATGGTGAATATATAAGTAAATATACTTGAACTTTCTTGCTTCACTTCAGAAGCCCTGCAAACATAATTCAATCTTATTTTTCCCTCGTATCCATCCCATTTACACAGGCTGCTATTTGAGTACTTATTTTGTCCAAAGCCAAAGCGTCCATCTATTCCGAGATTTCTCAGATCCGATCTAATCTTGTTCATCCATCTCATTTTTGGTCTTCCTCGTGGTCTTTTACCTAGCACTTCCTTTAACAGAGCCGTTCTCGTCATGTAGTACTCTTCTCTCCTATTCGTATGCATAGTGCAAACGGCTCTCTTGCATCTTCTGGACAATTGGGGCAGCCTTCATTTCCGATCTAATCATTTTCTTACAGATGCGATACTTCACCGTGAGACCTAATATCCATCGCAGCATAGTCTTTATGACCCTAAGCTTGTTCTCTTCTTTTCGCGTGCTCGGTAAACATTGCCACACAGCACGGATGAATCACAATACGATATACCTACGATATAAAATGTGATGGCATTCGTTTGTTACAGAGAACGCCTGTCGAGCTCCTCCACTTCAATCAGCTACACTTCTTCTGGCCAACACTTCGTCTTCTATTCCTCCTTCCAGGGATGTGTGGCTTCCCAAATGCTCAAACAAACTTCTTTTCTCTACTTCCCACCACCATATATTCGGTCTTCTTCGTGTTGAGCTTCAAATCGTGTTGTTGTTATAGTTGGTTTTTTTCACCTCTTCACCACCTTCCCTTCAATTCCTTCTCTGCTCTTTGCCATCAAGACATAGAGGAGATTCCATGCTGTTATATTTTGATGCCTTCCGTTACTCCATCACTGATATAAATAGCAAAGCAGAGAGTACCGAACTTTGATGAACTCCGACGCTGACGCAGAACTTTTTTTAGCGACCGGATGCTCTGCACATGGTTGAATGCTTTATGATAGATAATTTTAATCCATTTGATATATTCTTCCAAAAATCATGTGTCTTCGTAGCGCCTACCAAATAAGGCTATGGGGCACCATTTTCTAAGCAAGGAAAGCTACATGCAACCCTTTTTTCTTCTCTACACTTTTTCACCATTATCCAGGCAGAATGGATGGCATCCTTAACTCGAACTTTACAAAGTACACTGATTTGTTGATAACTCCCTGGTTTTTTGTAGTCATTATTCTTTTGAAGATCTTCAGAGTGCGGTTATCAGCCGGATTGGTCGGTATATTGTACAATCTGCGACATAACTTTGTTCTTCAT